GACACATATTTTTCCTTGAAAAATACTTTTCTTTTTAAAAATGATCAAACCAGATGGTACATATTTGTACCATCGATGTAGCAGGAAATTAACGTGCTGTTTATATCCGGCAAACAGTGCTTGTCCACAAAAATGAATTGTTTCAAGTGTTTGCAAAATACAACACATATTCTCTTGAGAATTTTTCTTCTGTCCTTGCACTCCTTTTACCATGCTGCCTCTCTAAGATTTCAACAGGCACCTCTCAATACTCAACGGACTAATTCTATTCGTCATATTATTAAGTCTACAATTGGAAACCCACCTTAACAGTTGTCTTTCAATAATTTAAGCAATGTTTACCCACCGCAAGAAAGTGTTCAATAAATGGTTTCAATAAAAGTTAGATGAAGGTGAATGAATTACTCATTTGCATTCTTTGTTGTTTTTAAAATCTTTACATTTCTGCAGATTTTTGCTTCCTTTAAATTGGACATACACTTATCTGCTAATTGATTTTAAGAAAACACATTATGTTCTCCTGGATATTAAAAAACAAATGATTGCCTTTATTCTACTACATTTGACAAGTATATTAAATTTTTATTTGGGTACTTGATGTGCTAACATTTAAGTGCATCATAACTTTCTCACATTATTTGTAACTTATTACTTCTTTTTAATTAATATTCACATTGAGGAGTCTGGTTCTCCTCCTGCCTTTAAAAGGAAAGGCACAATTTTATTTTGTGAAAAGATCTTTATGTTATCATGTAACAGTTATCACTCATTCTAAAAGGAAAAGAATGTATTTCTAGCAAGAAACCCTGATATTTCAGAGACTTCAAATTTGTGAAGACAAATACATGAAAAAAATTGAAATTAAAATATAATTATATTATTTCACCTTCACTTCCCTCCCTCCAACTACTCTCACACACTCCTCTTAAATTCACGACCTCATTTTCAATTGTTATTGATCTCTCTTGTCTCACTCTCTGCACATATTATGTTGCATAATATTTACACATATAAATATGCAAATAGGCATGTGTACATACAATGTGTAAATACAATGTGCTTATTCTCTCTAATGTTATGCATATATAGATAGATATAGATGTATGATTTCAAGACATATCAATGTGCATTAGATAAACAATCAGACAATTCATCCTACAGAGCACTAATATTCCTTCTCTCAGCACTTGGTTGCCTGTAGGGGTAGGGCCATGTAATGTTTGTCTTTGGGTAGCGTCTTATAATATTTCCCCATCTATGTTAGCATGTCTTTTGGTATTGTTACCTGTTTGAGCCTTGTTTAGGTAGTCATGTTTTTGAGGTACCATGGTTGCAACAAAATATATTTTAAAGTGATTAAGCCTTTAGGGAAATGTTTATTTGAAAACGTATTACTGAAAAGAAAGATCATGAAAGTTGCTATGAAACTAATGAGAGATGAACAAAGAGAGAATATCTTGAATGGCAATAGTGTGTAGGAAGAGCTTCTGAGATTAAAATTGAGAATAGAATTGAACTCAGAAAGTGGAAAGGCCAGAAGGAAGAGTATTTCAAAGTGTATCTAAGTGGGAGCTCAGGAAAGGCTTTGGAAGAAGGTGATTGGTCTCTTAATAACTATTGAAGAGAACAGAGGTGATGAGACCTGTGAACTTGCTTTTTATATAACTAAGATAAATAAAGATAAAATAGGTAAGGCAAGAGAATATTTCAGGAAGAAGATGATGATTAGGGGAAGTTGAAAATATGTGTAGTTACTCCCCCAAAGGTAAACTCCTAGGCACGCATAGATATGCAGCATGAGATTTCTCATCTGCATCTCATAATTTTGACAATTTGCTGGGTACAGAGAGGGCTCTATAATGTTTACACTTGTAACAGATTTTCCTGGCCACTAGGTGGCTATCTTGCTAGGATTGCTTTTAGGTGTTTGAGATTGGCTGGAGGGTCAAGGTTTTTTCCACACAATGTTTAGAAACCAAGTCTACTCACTGTTTCATTTACTATCTAGACCACATTTTGCTTTTTACCTGTGTGGAGTGACAGGGATTGTATCCAGGTCCTTGAACAGACTGAGCTGTATCTCCAGCCTACTACAGTTCAGGGAGCTGATTAATATATTAAGTTCTTTAACAGAGCAAATGAAATTGAAGTGATTAATAAGATTTCTATGTAGTTTTCATGTACCCTACATTATAATTGATGACCTTTCTTCAGACAAGTTTCTTTAGTTTTGTCGGTCTGGAGAGATGGCTCAGCCATTAAAGGCTAGGCTCACAACCCAAATTTCTTTAGTGTTACTGTGACCAACTAACATTGAACTTTGGCCTTTAAAATATTTAACTTCTCTTCCACAGTACACTGACTTTGAGCTCCTATGGCAGAGTTATAGCTTAGAGACAGGATATTTACTAAATTAGAGAAAGGGAAAATGATAGCTAGGCTCTATAAAGACTTTAGTGGAAGGTCAGTGACCACTTGGATAACACTCATTGGCAAGCACAGATACAGCAGCTCTGTCTTCAGTATACTTTCACATATCCATGCTATAGAGATCATAAAATTCTTAGTTTATTGTTCCTTAAAAAATTATATAAATCTAAATATCTTAACTTGACTCTTCATATTAATAGGCAATGCATTAAGTTTGCATTAGAGCTAAAAATGAGGTGACCTACTTTTGAAATAAAGCAAAATACTCCAATTAACATATCAAAACATTCCTTCAACAAAGAAAATATGCTGTTTTTTCTCTAAATTATTCAGAAGTTTTCACACAATTTGTTTCCAACATCAGACTGAAAGAAGATTCCAGAACTATTATTTAGTAATTTTTAATTGAATTGCAGTTTTTTTCCTTCTCTTTGTGCCTAGGAATGTTATAATAAAGAATGGGTAGAAAGTGTCAGGATTATAGTTGAATAGTAATACAAACATAGCCTTGAATAATGCTGAAACAGTTACAGAGAGCTATTATACTGTTAACACTATCAGAAATTGATGGGATTACAAAGAAATGTTCACCATGATCTCTGATGTCTCAGTGGTTTCAGGATTTTATTTGTGAATATTGACCAGGTTCCAAGAATCAAACAAAGAATAGTGTGCCCTAAGTGTTTAAATCATGCATATAAAAAGAAATAAACAAGCCGGGTGGTGGTGGCATACACCTTTAATCCCAGCACTCAGGAGGCAGAGGCAGGCAGATTTTTTTAAATTTTTTTATTTAAATTAAAAACAATCTTATTTTGCATACCAATCCCAGTTTCCTCTCCCTCCTGTCCTCCCTTACCCCCTACTGCCCCCACCCATCCTACCCCTATCCACTGCCCAGTGAGTGTGAGGCCTAGGCCCTCTCTGTGTATTTAGTCTTAGAGTATCCTTCCGTATGGAATGGGCTCCCAAAGCCCATTTGTGCACTAGGGATAAATGCTGGTTCACTGTCAGTGGCCCTATAGACTGCTCTGAACCCCCAACTGCCACCCAGTTCTATTATTTCAGACTGGAAAATAACATTTTATGAGTCGTGTATTAGCTTCTACACTTTCATTCCTGTTGTTTCCATACTCTTACATTGGGTAATACTTATTTTTAAATTGTTTTTGTTATTATTTCCTTAAACATTTAGTGTTTAGGTAGAAAAAACACCATAATCCTCACTTTGAGGTTAGAAAACAGACTCTTAAAGAAGAGAAAGTAAAGTAAAAAAGCAACATTTCACACTGACTATACTGATTAAAAAAAAAAATTTAAAGTTTGAAAAGTCAAGCCTTTACAAGAATATTAACCAAGTAAGTCTATTATAGATTGCTGGCTGATATACAAATCTGTACAAATAATTGGAAAAATGTTGGCATTATCTCCTAAAATTGGATATTCACAGTGCATAATCTTAAATAACAAATTAATTATAGCAAGAGAGCCATGGGTACTGCAGTGATAATAGTTATTCACACACTAAGGGTTATAATTAATCCCATTGTGTGTACTGAGGCCAGACTCTTAGAATTTAGGTGGCTGAATACCCAATAGTAGGCTTTCAGTCTGACAGAAGTGCAGAGGTATTGGGTAGGTGTATTTTTGTTTGGTATACTATTATTTTAGTGTTGTGCTTGCTTTATAAATATTTATCAGTGAATATTTGCTGATATAATGAATGTCCAAGTGGCAGTTTTTTCAGTTATAATCAAGAAAGGAAAAGTGGGAGATGCATCAAATGAACTGTGTTCTATTTTTGTACATTTAGGAGAAACTGAGGTCTATCCAGGTGCACCAGAAAGATGTAGCATTGTCATTAGTACAATTCAGCTATAATTATTTATGTATTTTTATAGGAAATATATTACACAGTTTTAAGTAGTCACGCAACCTTTAAGTCAAAATAAAGAATACAAAGCAACTTTGTTTTGAGAGCGGTGAACTATAAAAGGAGTGGAATCATGTTGAATTATTAACTACAGATAATTCCCTGGTGCACAAGAGGACACAGCACTGACGAGTCCATGCTGCTCTTCCACAGGACACAGTCAGATAGGTAGGTCACACCCTCTTTTAACTCCTGCTCCAGGGAATATGCAACCATCTTCTGGCCCGTGCCAGAACTTACACACAGAGCGATAAAAATAACATTAAAAAATCAAAAGCTCCATTTCACGCATAGTCATTCAAAATAAGAGAGATATCCTTGAGAAATAGAGAGGTATCTAAGTATGACAGACAGTGTTATCTGGTGAATAACTAAACTTGGATACTGCACATTTTCCCCATAATTCTCACAACAACAGTCAAGGATAAAAATATTTCTAAAGTACTATGACTAGTCAGTGACTATGCTGCAATTCTCACCTACTTCTCAACTCCTATTTCCTTTCCCCTGAAGTAGACCCTGATTTGTAAGTCACCTGCTGAGTTAGTTTCTGAGATCTTTCTGGTTCCTTATTCACTGTCCTCCTAGCTGCTTCGTTTCACAGAGCACATGACCCATCCAATAGCTTTGCTGTGTGTAGCACTGGCAAGTGACCCATTGGACACTCCATTGACCAAATGGGCATCGAGCAGTGCAAAACCAAAACCCTCCAAAAGCTGGGAGAGTCACACTGTGGATTACTCCCGCATTCAGGTGGGTACAAAACTAAATGGGTCCTGGGATCCATCCTGAAAAATGTGAGGTAGTAAAAAGCATGAACTCTACACCTCAGTAAAAGTAGTGATGTCCATATCAGGTTAATAACAGATAATCAGTGCTGTCCATGCTAGGGCAACATTTTAATCCCTGCCAGATGTGCAGGTTCTAGCAATTTACATTAAACCCTTTAATATTCAGAGTTGGAGTTCATATACTATGATTGATCTTCTTGGAATGACCAGAGGTTCTCATGGAAATTTCATGAAGGCATATAATCATTTGAATTTCTTAACAAAAATGTCCATTAAGTGTTGCTGAGAAAGGACAACACATGATTTTCTTCCTTTGACATGGTGAAAATGAGACTACAATTGTCCTAAGAGATAATGACTCCCTTGTATTTTGTTTGTTCCATGCTCTTATTAGATTCCTTACATATCAGCTTTCTCTGGGTTCTTCAACCCCTGTATATGATGTAGAGAATTGGATATAGACAAGTCCCTTTCTTTCCAACTCTTACTTCAAGATCCATTTCTAGCTCCTTTATAGTTTTAAGATATGTTCTAATACTCAGATCTCCACTAATATCTCACTCTAGCACATAGTGGACAATTAGAGATTTTTGGTAACAAGTTTATCTTCACATACATGTTAGAACTGTTGCCCCAAAAGCAGTCAGTTTCATAAAGTATAACCTCAATGAATATTTATTGATGAGTATGCTCATATAATTTTTCCTGCAAATCCAAACACTGATTATTGTAAGCAGAAGTGGATGGAGGCAAGCACTAGAATTTTGAGTGTCATAGTTTGGGACCATATAAACAAAATGATTTATAATGTAGTAAAAGCCAGGTGATGGGCCTGGTCTACAGAGTGAGTTCTAGGGCATCCAGGGCTACACAGAGAAACCCTGTCTCAAAAAAATTCTAGTAAAGATAACATTGGGAAATGAACCCATGATAAGTTGTTTATGTAAAATAAGTACACTGAAGGAAGATCTCACATTTTTTTTCTTTTATCAGTGTAAATAGTAATCATGACTTTCTAGGAAGTACTTTTAAAGTAGGGTCCCACACCATAAAGGTACATAGGGATCATAAGTCTATCTTGGGATAATGTTTGTTTTCTGTTAACTAAGTCAGCATTGTTAAAGGATGTACATAACTTGAAACTCATTATAATCTTATCCTCTGGGGAACAATGAAATTGAAAAACATCACTAAAATATTACATACCTGTGACAAAATTGAAATCCTTAGTAAGACTACATAAGATTAATTAAGATAATGATACATTTCCTGATTAAATGACTATAAACCCAGGATTGCTTTTCTTTTCACAATTTCAGAGTGTATTTTTTAAATGTATTGTTCTTTATACTCTCGTCTTTATTAGTATTAGAGAAGCAAGGAAGATTTATATTTACAAGTTTGAGGGTAATATGAAGTAAGAGAACACAGAGTGCTCCTTATATGAATTTCCCTCTTGAGTTTCCAGAGAATTGGTCCCTTTGAAAAGTACAGATCATTTTCCTTAGAAGAATAAGAAGAGTGCTCAACTGACCCACCAACCTTACTAGGTTGAACAAATATGTTCAAATGCAGTTTTATTGTCTGCCCCTTTCTAGTTTAACTGTGGGATATTTAAATGTCCCCACCATCACAAGTGTAATAGGATGCAAGAAGTCAGGCTTTTCAAAAAATTTTAATTTCTTAAAATCATACTGTCTAGGGATAGTATCAGATGCCCATCTGTGTAGCTAAGACTTTCTCAAGCATTTTTTCCCTAAGGGAAGCATGCTGTGTCCCCTGTAATTATTTTTGATTACTTGTTCTTTCCTGGTGGTCTACTTTAGATCCCTTTGGAACTTTGTAGATGGAAAAGTATGATGATTTAGATAATATCCTGATGTGAAACCACTTTTTGACAAAGATTAGGAATGTCTTTGGTATAGACAACTGCCTATATTTGAATGAAGTGTGTTTATTATAGAATGTGGTTTTCAAAAGGAAACACAATTAATTGATCTATGGATTGTTTCCTTTGCGACATTTACCTTCCTGATGTCTTGCAGTAAGTGTATGGCCTATAAGTTTGTTTGGTTTTTGTTAAAATAGCAAATTTAGATGTGGACCAGATGGTGAAACTGCCCTTGTTCAAGCATTTAAAATTAATTTTGCTTTGGTTCATTTTTAATCATCAAACCACTCATTTTAGCACAAAGTAAATTGAATCTGTGTGCTAGTCCATCAGAGATACTTGATTATTTATTATACATTGAAGCATTCAAATATATATTACTGTGATAGTATGTCAATGTTATCAAAGGAAAATGGATATTTTTGTTGTGTTTTCATACAAGGCTACCAGGTCACTGAGGCTGGCCTTGGGTGACTATATTCAAGCCATCTTTCTGCCTCACCTACCCCAATAACCAGAAATGCAGGAACATGCAAATGAACCTAAATGTTATATTATTTTTGACATAAATCAATGCCCAGATTTATTTTTACTATATTATGATTACCAAAGGCATTCTAGCTAGGTAGGTGTGTAGGAGGATGGAGAGATAGAAGATGTCATGTAGATGAATGATATGTACATAGACAGGAAGATGATAAATACATAGATAATAGATAGACAAGTATGACGCAGACAAAATTTTACTGTAGTGAATAAATTCATCATTAGACTTTACTTGTGTCCCTTTTTCCTCCATAGCTTATTCTGCAAGAAATGAAAAAAATCACAATATTCATCTACATAGATTTTGAAAGATTTAATTATAAATGTATTTTCAACTTCAAAATTGGACCCCTCGAACTATAGATCCTAATATCATCTTCTTACATCTACCCTGCACAGAAAGTCATTGGAATGTATATTTTCTACTGAGAAGGAATTAGGATCTATGCTACTTTTGTCACTCTTGACTTTGTATTCATTCATTCATCCAGATTTTGAATGGTAAGGTTATTTTGCATATCACCATCAACAGGGTCTGTGTAAATGACCTGTCAATTTATTTCCTCCTCTGAATTTTACAGCAATCACTATATTCATGTATGTTTCCAGTGACATAGTATTGCAGTCAGTTTGGGATCATGTGTTTCTCTGTTTAAAAAAAATTGCTTCAGGGAATTGACTTGAAAACAACAAACATCTGTTGCATTAAATTCATGTTTTGACATACCCTTTATTTCATAATTGGATAAAGACCATATTCCATTTCTTCTGATAGTGGTGGTACTTACAATTGTAGGGATCTCTGCCAGGAAAAATTGGCCTTCCATATTTTCAGGGTGAAAACCTCAGTTATGATACAGGCAGTAACTGAGGCTCCCACTTGCTCATAGAGATGCACAATTGCTCTGTGTGGGTCTCCTTTGTCATTTCTCACAAGTGGAGGAAGATCCTCACATCCAGTTCTACTCTAGCTTCAGAAAGACTGTTCTTGTTCCCAGAGCTCATCAGCCATCAGGAGACACCTTGCTCCCTGGAGTGCAGTTAGAGTCACTGAACAGCAAGAAATGCTTGTCGACTCAAAGAAGCTCAGATGTCTTCTGTGAATCCAGCTGGTTCAAGGCTGCAGGCCCACTTCCCTTGGCAGGTTTTTCCATTTCAGGGAGTGGGAAAAGTGGCCCTAAACCATCAAAATGGAGTATACATCACTCTTGACACACACGGAATCTCCTCTCCACTAACTGGAGAAGTTAGAGATAGAGTTAGAATAAAAGCAATCTGAGGATGAAAGCACAGTGCCTTAACCTGTCTAACACTTATGTACTTTTAAAATGTGGTGGGATAAAAGGAATTATATATTAATCTGTGTATAACCTTTGGACGTTCTTATTTATTTATTTATTTATTTATTTATTGGACTTTCTTAATATAGTGAACACAACACCAAGATCAAGTACAAAAAATGTTTAAGGTTATCATTAGTTATTTTACATTTGTCACTTAACAAAACCAGATCTTGTTTTCTGGTAGGATAGAAGTGCCACAGAATATTCAAATCCAGGTGTAGATCACATCCGATTCATGCTGTTTTGGATTATAGATACTGATGCTCATAATACTGGTTGTAGGAAATAAGACAGAGAACATTTAAAATTTTATATGACAAAAAGTCAATCTAAAGTAATGAAACAAGAGCTGTAATAGATTTTGAATCATAAAGGTTACAAGAAACGCAAATGGTTAATATTTAATTTGAGATTTGTTATTACATCCCTGTTTCATTTGTGCATACAGAACATTTTAAAACATTCCTGTAAGTGTGTTAGCATGGTACCTCTTTAAGTATTGTAAGGCAATGGATATACTTTCAAATATATTCTTAGTATTGTTCACTGGTTTTCAGTTTAGTGATCTACCTAGAATATACAAAGGCCTTTTATTCTAACAATAGAAAGAGAGAAAAAAAATGATTGACAGAAAGAAAGGAAGAAAGAAAGAAAGAGGGGGAGAAAGAAGGAAGAAAATTAATAAAGAAAGAAGGAAGGAAAGAAGGGAAGGAAGAAAGAAAGAAGGAAAGAAAGAAGAAAAGCAAAAGAGAGGAAACAATTGTTAAGAGGTTTCATATAGTCACATCACAAATTTTTAAATTTTTCTGGGCAATTTTTTGAGAATATACATAATGTTCTGCTTCTATATTTGTAAATGCAGCATGAAAGTCAGGAGCATGAAATATCAAGTAGTGGTACGAACATCTAAAACTTAATTGATGAATGAATACAACTAGAGTTATAAATCATGGCTGAATGAATATCTTGCTTTTTTTTGTTTTGTTGTTGTTTCTTTGTTTCAATACACAATACCGAGGTATAAGTCTATACTTTTCCCTATTCTACAGAAACCTTATACCTATTCAATTTATAAAATCATGTCTAACTTGAAAAACTGACTAAATGATAGAGAAGTAGAGGGAGAACAAGCAAAACAATGTATGGATTCTTTTTACAATGTGTAGAATTAGTAAGCTACAGACATCTCTATTA